TTCTCCTTTTATTTTATTTTGATCGGTCTCCTCGACGCTCTTTCTCGTTTGGTGCGGTAGCTGGTCTTTCTTTCTATCATTTTGTTTCTCTTCCGAGTGGTTTTTGTACCCTATTTTTTTCTGTTTCTTCGTGGGGTCGTGTATGCCGGGTTTTGAGACCACGGGCTCCCACTCTTTTTCTTTAGAGCTAATGTGAGAAACAACAACAACAAACAAAACACCGGAATATCAAGTCTTTCTGTACTCTGAATAGTGCCGGTGCCCGGTATTGTGCCGCTTTGCTCTCTGAACACATACCGGCACTATAGAGGGCCCCCTACTGTATATGCTTTTGGTTGCAAAAGACACGAGTTCAAAACCCGCTGCTCACCTAATTTTCTTCCGAAAAAAAAAAGGAAAACGGTGGGTGGGCCAAGAAACGATGCATTTGTCTATCGAACTCGAAACTTTTGGCAATGCGTGGCGGAAGTGGTCACGCACAGAAGATTTTTGGAAAAAGAGGGGGTTCTACTCGCCGCCAGCCGGTCGGGTTCCGGTTACCCCAAGAAGACTTCTCTTGCCCAGCAAACAAGAAGAAGCCTCGAAAAAGGGGGGGGTATTGTGGAGAATACCTTCATAAAGGTTGAAACTCCCCAGCGTCTGTCGAGGACGAAACCCTCTTTTCCACAGGGAACTCCTTCAGAAATATTTTTCGCCGCATTCCAGACCGATGTGGGTTTTGTACACCTCGGCAATTGATTCCGCTTGGCCGACTTACGGGGGGTACAGCCGCTCAGAACGTTGATCAGACAAAAAGTGAGGTGCGCGCGGGTTCAAACATGAGTGCAGCCGAAGCTGGGGCAGCGGCAGCTGTGTCAAAGCCAGGCAAGTGTGAGCGCATGCTCTGGCTGGGAAACCAGACACACATCATACAGCACGAGTGGAGACCAGACAACAGCCGCGGAGAGGTGCTGCTGATCACAACTCTCGTCGACAAGAAGTGCCCCAACAGGTCTTCGAACAAGTAACAGGTCTTTGTTGCCAGCACCGAATGACGTGTAGCCTCAAAAGCCTTAGAGATGGCTCATAGGCTTCTCAAGAACAAGCGCGAAAGGTGGGAGAAAAAGGCTCACGGGCGTTCCGGTGGCAGAAGCAGCAGCGGCGGTGGCGCTAGGAGGAATGCCGACAGAGAGGTAGCCGACCCCGTCATGGCGGCTTTGCGAGGATGTGGCAAGACCCGATCCGGGGTGACGATCAGCGAGCTAGCTGAGCCGGTGAGATCCTCTACAAACTCATCAATCAACACTTGCAGCACTTTCTCCGAGAACCGTTTACAAAATACAACCCTGATGAAGAGACACGCAATAATTGCGCCGAGGGGGGGTTATTTCCACCGAGAGGATCGGATTGCATGAATAGTCGCGAGGGGGAGGGTGTACTCATAGTCGTGCATGCCGTAGTCGTTAGACTATTGACCTCGCATCCCTACAAAGCCGGGACGGAGCACGCCGGGTTCTCACCGGACCAGGCTCTCACATCACCAAGCGCGAAGCGCCGTGAGATATTCGGCGAGTCGCATGAAGGGTGCGCTGCATCCTGCTAAGGGTGTTCGGCATCTTGTGCTTACTTCCTTGCGTACGGATGACAGCTGCGTATGAATTAATTTATTTTCTGGTGCTTTCACTTCCAGAGACAGTTGTAAGCACTGTGTAACTGCCTCGAGGGTGCTTGACCATTTTAACACAACGTGGTGCGATCATCCCCCTTGCGCGGAGTGAGGGTTCACCCCGCACAACATGATCTACTCAACCATCATTATGGTTACCGCCCAAAAAAAATAAACGGAGGAAAAAAAAAAAAACGGTAACCTGGTTGCCGAGTTCACGAAGTGAATTGGCTTGTTTTACAACGTCGTTGCCAAGCGACGAAAACCCAATCCCGATGGCAAACACCGGGGGGGGCGGCTTGTTTTACAACGTCGTTGCCAAGCAACGAAAACCCAACCCCGATGGCAAACACCGGGGGGGGAGGGGGGAATAGTCGCGAGGGGGGGGTAAGTTCCACCGAGAGGATCGGATTGCATGAGAAGTACACCGAGACTCGTCCGTGTTGCTGCCCGCGCAAAGCAAGTGCCCAATTTTGTGTGTGCAATGGTGTCTCTGTCAGTCGTGTCTTGCTGTTATGCCTGAATGCGTTGCGCAACGTCGTACCCTCCCCCCGCTCCTCCTCGTTCGTCATGTGTGCACACAGACGGCGCCGGCTGACTGGCGCCAGCAGTCTACGGAAACTTTTGTCGCGTCCATGGACAGCATGGGGTATAACAAGGCGCTGCATCACTTGGAAGGCACCGGCTCAAAGTTTGCGAAGGAGACGCGTGTTCGCTTGCGAGAGTTGGAAGCCAAGGTCAGCACAGCGGTCTCGTTAGAGCGAGCCCTCGAGCAAGCGCAAAGGCAACGTAGAACCAAGGAGGGTAGCCGCACGTTTCAAACAATCCTCACCGCTGCGGCGTTTCCCGTGGACGACGTAGACTGGGCTCCATCGGTGTCAGCAAGACGTAGGGCAGCGGCGCTGGGGGTTCGCGAGCAAGCCTTCAACTTTGCGGCGGAGCGTGCCAAGAAAATGCTGTCCGATCGCCAACCAACCGAGGCGATAAAGCGCGGTGTCTACTGGTTTTGGCCCCGAGCTAAGCAAAGCAATGCCGCCAGCGAAGAGCTGCTGGAGTTGATGAGACAGTACTGGCACACGGACGAGGTGTCACGCCAGCATGGCAACTCAGCTGAGCGCAACATGTGGAACTAGAGCAAGTCTCCGACCGCTCACCGCCACCCTCGGCGGCAGCTTACGGAGCCGGTTGGGGGCGAGGCGGTGTACGCCAAGTTCCTCAACTGGGCGTCCTACAAGAGCTTCAAGGAGCGACAGAGCGACAACTTCACGGACCCTGGCCGTACGCTCTTCCTCTCGACGCGTTGCAAGTGCCTGGTCCTCCCTGCAATGGAGCAGTGCGCGTGCAAGATCCACTCGCAGCAGGTGCTATACATCGAGGCGCTAGCCAATGTCGACATGACCAGCCACGGGGAATGCGATTGTCGATGGTGCAACGTAGATGGCGGCCGCAGGTGGCGGGAAACGTGGAAGCATATGGGCACTTTCTCCGATGCAATTGCCTGCCCCAAGGTCAACTTGCGGGCAGCGGACCCAGAGGGTGACAGTTGGATGGGGCGGAAACCGGAGTGCAACGCTTTGCACTGCGCTATGTGTGGGTTCGGGGGGACTGACGGCATTTCCATCTGCAGCAAGCTGGAGACCTCCGAGCAGACGGTGGTGTGGAAGATGTTCGAGGACGTGATAACTGTGCCTGCATCGGCGGATGGGAAGATCAAGGCCAAAAAGCTCGCCAACCAGACGGTGCCGAAGGAGGGCAAGCTTTGCGATCTTTGGTTGGCTTTCAAAGAGCACACCAAGCTGTACATGGCTCACCACTCTATCGCCAAGTGGCAAAGGCACTGCCACGGGCGTTGCTTGGAGACGTTTCAGGACGGTGACCTTGTCATCGAGACCGACTTTGCCGAGAAGTATACCCACCAATCCTTCATCAGCATGATGATACCTGTTTACCCATAGACAACGCTCATGGTGGCCATCGTCCACTTCAACCCGCAGACACACGTGGGGGGTGGCAGGGCGCACGTGACGGAAACATGGATCTTTGTATCTGAGGACATGGCACATGACTGCGATTTGCACCTGCACGGCTTGGCCAGGATGGCGGACCACTACCTGCGTGGAGATGGGAGCGAAGCAACAGCTGCCGCCCGGAAAGAAGGCAGGACGCCTCGGATTCACATCTTTACCGATGGGTGCGGGAAGCAGTACAAGGGAAGGCGGAGTTTCCGCTTTTTGGCCGACAGCGTCCGGCAAATTGGCTCCTTCATCGACCACCACTTCGCGGCCACATCTCACTTCAAAGGTTGCCATGATGGGATCGGCGGAGTCGCAAAGAACGCCATGAAGAGGAGGGAGAGATTTGGCAAGCGAATCATGGGGGCGGACGGGGTGGTCAGCTTTTTGCGAAGCTTCTTTCGGGAGAAGGCAGGCAGCGAGGGGGAGGAGGGTATGCGGAGGTACTTCGCGAAGTGGTCTCCGTACCGCATGCGGAGGGTGCACGTCGAGTTTATCAGTAAGAAGGAGATCTATCGGCCAAACTCGATCCTGGAAGGGGTAGAGGGTACACGAGAGATGTACCACTTTGCGGGAGCAAACACTCCCAAGTGGGATGGGTCCACCTCAACCAAGGGACGCGAAGATGACTGTAAGCTCGTGCTGAAGAGCGAGGGGCAGGGCCAGATGTCGAGTCTAGAGAAGAGCCGGTTGCGGGAAGTCAAGGTGTTGGGTGCAGTAGGGAGCAGATGGAAGGGTCAGGGGGCTGGGTTGCAGGATCTGATATCGGGGGAGGAAGACGTGACTTGCAAGAAGGTGAAACGGACCTACAGTCTCAGGACTCGTTTAGCGTCGTGCTTCTGCTCGGCATGCCGGCGTTCTGAGTATGAGCAGTACTACGTTAGCAAGACGTACCCCCGTCTCGTTCCCGCAATGGAGGATGGCGTAGTGAAGGAAACGGTGATCATGGACACTGGAGTAGCGCCCGNCGGCGTGCCGGCGTTCTGAGTATGAGCAGTGCTACGTTAGCAAGACGTATCCCCGTCTCGTTCCCGCAATGGAGGATGACGTAGTGAAGGAAACGGTGATCATGGACACTGGAGTAGCACCCGTAGACGAAGATGCCTCCGAGGGGATGGAGTTCCCGCGATACAAGAAGGAATGGAAAAAGAAGAGAATGACTGGGACACAGTGGCAGGACGGCGACTCTGCTACTGTATCAAAGATTTGGGAAGAGCTTGGAAGGAAGGAAGAGCNAAGAAGAGAATGACTGGGACACAGTGGCAGGACGGCGACTCTGCTACTGTATCAAAGATTTGGGAAGAGCTTGGAAGGAAGGAAGAGCCCAGCATTTTTGCCCGTTTCGGGAGGTGGGCTGGCATTTAAGTGGCATGCTTCTTGTATTTGCTCGTGGAGCAGTATTGGGCTTCAGAGCCCGTTTGAGGTCGAACTTGAGGGGGGGGGTGGGGCGGTTCCCGAGAGGATGTGTAAAATATCTTGAATTATTCGTGATTTTCTTGGCAAGGCGATGCTGTTCAATGTGTACCTGTATCTCAAAGGCAAAATCGAATTGAAAAAAAAACACCGCGGATTCGTAATCCTCACCCCAAAATTACCCTAACCTGTAATTCTCAGATCAATCTGACCACTTTTCAAAACCGGGAATGTTTCAGGCCCATCCCCGGGTTTTGCGTTTCGCGAGTTTCCTGAGGACAATAGGGGAAATGAGTTGAAACCCGGTCAAAATTAGTACAACAAACATAAAAACGAATCCACCATGTACGTGCCCACGGGGTAGTGCGTCATAAAATTTTCAGACCTTAGCAGCGGATGGTTCATCACCATCCCCCCCCCGCAAAAAATCTATGCTCATCAGTTGCGGATGGAGACTGCTGTGTTCAACAGTGTGATCGCCCTGTAGTTTCCTGGGTCAGTCTTGTCTCCTTTCTT